CTCGAACGGCAACTCCGTAGACGCAGCACAGTTCGCGATCGGCAACAAGAAACATAATCCCTCCATTGTACGGGCGTTTCTCTCTCGATCCTGCAAACCGGAATCAGTCGATCGATAAGATGAAAAACTGTCTACAACTTCAAGATAATGCAATCTGGCGTGCAAAATACCTGGAGAAAATCTTGATATGGCGTCCATCAAAAATCCTTGAAATGCGCTATCAATCTACAGGACAGGCAAAATAATAAATCAGACTAATGGCAGCATCAATCAACGCTCGCTGTTGCCCAAGGGGTCTCTTCATACCTCATTTTTCTCTTGACTCGTAATCCGATCGAATATTGAGGCAAGCACCAGTTGGTCCCTCATCCGACCAATTCCGGCAAACAGAACGTTTTCGTTCGGACATGGCGAATACGGATCTGCTTAAGAGCGGCGCGCCATGCAAGAGAGCAATCGATTACGGAAAAGAAATGTCCAAAAAAAAATAAGCGAGAAAACGGACGAGGCTAGAAAATCCTTTAATTTGATGAGTCCTTATCTGTCCGCTGCATGTTCAATCTGTTCCTTTCGGAAAATTAAAAATCCATGAAATTAATCAGCGCCTAATCAGGAAATCGCAAGACTGAAACCCTACGCTCGTAAGCGCTGCAAATACTCAGATGGATCAGAATGCTCCAGGCCTTCTCGGATGCAAAACGCATCTGGGGATGTTTCACGTAACCTTCAAGCATTGACACGTCACTTGGTTTCTGCCAAACCAACCACTCGATACTTGGCATAGGGAGTTGATGCCGCAATTTCCGTTGTCACGGCACGGCCCCGAAGCAGGAAGATCTGTAGGAGAAATGTATTTTGCATTATGACGATACATAGAAGAACATCACTAGCCCAACATAAGTCTCGTATAGCGTACCAATGCGCCGGCATAAACGCTTCAGCACCCTCCAGCCCGTTCCAGGCAGCACCAGAGGGACAGCGACAATCATAAATTTCATCGCCAAAATCAACACATTGTGCCATAGAGGGGCAAGGATTCTTTCGACACCGCATTCATTCCAGTGTTGGGTGTTCGATCCCCATTACTGTGTCGTGTCTCTGCGGACGATCCCGATCCGATTGACAATGAATTCACAGCATCCATCGTCCCGCCCGTGATAGTTTTTCCTGAAGAACAAGAACGATGATTCGGTTTGACCAACTCTCACCTTTTCAAGCTGGTATAGGGCGTGCCCATCAAGCACCCTTCGTATCACTTCCTCGTACGACAACATTGGGGATTGTCCCCAAATGAGACCAACGAGACCCGCTGGAGATGGACACACTAAAAGGGTGGCTAACTTCGTACGTGACGTACTGATATGAGGAACTGCGAAGGACGTCCCGGACACAAATTCATACCCTGTGGTACAAACAGGATAGAGAGGGACTTGAACTCATGCGATATTCTTTGAATCCTAGAATATCAACTGCTGTCGTTGCATACCTCCTCCGACTGTTGAGCCAGAATATCTTGACCAGGAGCTCCAATATCGACAGTTGTCTTGCCCCAATTGGAGAATCCGGCAAGGCCGCCAGCTTTACCAATGGCCGCCACTGAAATGATATTGTCAAACGTCCAGCTGGCCGGTAGCACTCTATTGGCTGGGACGTCATTGTCGCTGGCGAAATTTCCTGCAGCTGCAACAAAAACCATTCCTGCCGCCTTTGCGCGTTTAACTGCTTCTTCCAGAGGCCCAAACGAGCTTCCCTTGGCTCCGTATGAATTGTTGCTGATGCGGACCTTCTTTTGAAGTGCGGTAATCGATTGCCTAGTGAAGGGAATGGAGACGAAGCTCACAAAGAAAAGTCCGTACCTTCACAAACCCCGAAACAGCGCCCTAATGTTCTCGTTCAGCACCCTCAGATTCATAATACGGCAATTCCAACAAACTGGAGCGATTCCAAGTCTGTTGTTCGGTGTAGCTGCAATGATTCCGGCAGAAGCAGTTCCATGGCCAGCACCTGACAGGAACGAGAGCAGTGTGTCCCTTAAATAGAGTTATAAGTGAACTGACCGTCTTGGGGCACATTGTCACCATCAATGAAGTCCTTCAATAAAACGATCAATTACTGGTGATAAATCATTTCTCCGCTTACCCATCCATAACAGTCATCAATGTATCCGTTTCGGTCATCATCAATTCCGTTGTCACAAATTTCGTCTTCGTTTCTCCAAAGTTGATTCTGAACGTCCTTATGATTCAAATCTACCCCAGAGTCTATCAAGGCTACTGTTGTCGTCCACCGATCGTCAGCCCCACTCCATACCGACCACGCGGAACCACATTCGCCGCGCCGAGATCTTCGGACGGATTACGAAGTGACCATTGTCGATCGAAGAACTTATCATTAGGGGCAATCGCGCTTGCAGCATGCGCACCGGCTCACCCCGCAAACTCTCTTCATCGCTCAGAGTCTCTTCAGTTCGAATTGAATCTCCAGTGCGTGCATTCAATTCCGGCTCTTCGAAGTCAAGCAGGTGATCTTCATACACCGCTGCGACGTCTGGGTCATTCATCAGAACTTTCTTGAAGGCGATCGCATGTGCCTCTGTCGGCGCCTCGATCGACTCCATATGAAGCGTTGAGAGGTAGGTTGTATGAAAAGGGGGTTCGTACTTTGTATCTGGATCATCGACACTTTGCTGTCTAAGTCCCTCAGATGGAGTCCGGTGGCGATAACCCATCTGCAGCTAGTCCCCTTGTAGGCGCATTCCCTTGTCCAACGGTCTGGAGTTCTTCCGCTTCAAGAGACGAAGAGAGACGCAAGACGACGAGATTTCGTTGCAATTTCTGGATTTTGTGTTGTGTCTCTTCATCCACTGCAGAAAGCGTCTGGTCATCCACGCTAAACTCGGGATCCTCACTGTCCCTCAATGACGTTCCCGGCGTCGTTTGGTATCCTAGTCCGTCCAATGATTCCTCGATTGACGTAGGAGTGTTCGTTACCTGCTGTACAAGACGTCACGCATTTGCTTCAGATGAGATGTTTCGTTCAACAGCTTGAGCAGGAAAGCGCGCATGCCTTGAGGAGCGGGGGACGTTGACGTTGACGTCTCCTCAGTTGGAGGGCATTAGCAACGTCTCGTGGATACTTATATGCGACGAGCAGAGTGCGACCGTGGCAGTTGGAGCGGCAAGGAAGATTCTTTGCTGCTGGAGGATTGCTCTGTGAATATGCGGTTTTCAGATGTGACGTCAACGGAGACACAAGTTTGCTTGCAGAATTCACGAGAATCCAAAAAGCGAGAATTTCTCCGACGTTGAAGTTGTGGTTGTGGTTGCGGACGTTGAAGTTGCGGGCGTTGAGGTTGTGGGTAAAGGTGTGGTTGAACTTATTGGCGATGATGTTGAAGGTGGTGTTGGGGTGCAGTTGTAGTTCGGGCTGTTGTTCGAGTGGGCGTAGCACTTGACTCTACCCGGTTCTCTTCATAAGCCATCGTTTTCTAGACCCGTCAACTCATCGTCAGCGGTTGCCCAGTTGTTCTTAAATTGGTCATCGATAGGAGGGGCTGGAATGTTGGCGTCTTGTTCAACCAAAACTTGTGACGCTTTCACAGTAATAACTAGAGGGAGTAATACTTGTAGCAATATCATGCTTCTCATACTCTCGAAAAGTAAATAATTGCTCTATAAGGTCTGTGATTCTTCGTGGTACTGTTTTCGAATTTCTATAGTAGGTGCTGTTACTCCAATGTGCGCATCCTGTTTTTTGCCAAGCCTTGTCATGAAACTCTCTTCAAATTAGTGTTTGCCCCACATCAACAACAGTAACAAATTATAAGCTGGGTTGCGCGACTGTCTCAAGCGGCTGCAGTTTCGGAATTCAGTAATGAGATCGCTGGATCTCTTTCCTGTCGTTTTTATTTCTTCTCTTTGAATGTGAAACCCTATTTCCAAGTTTCGAAACATCAACCAAAAAAGAAACCACACTACAAGAAATCAAGATGTCAAGTTGTGCACAATGGGTCGACTATTCCTGGAGGAACTCTGTTTCAGGACCGCTTGCTTTCATTAGGACGCTCAAGACGGTACATAGGTTTTGGCTCGATCCCCACATCAACAGCTAGCCGAAACTCATTGTGGCGTCATTCGCGATTTTACTATTACTATACCTGGTGGTCGATTTGCTCAGCGTCTCAATCCAGTCTTTGTGTTGCGACTGCAATGTAGCTCTACCTTGCTGTTTCATACTTAGCTCATCTCTAGGACGTGTGTAGCTCCTGGTAATTGATTCTCACATTCTGAAGCTTATACCGTACTGGCCAGGCGTCCCACTCTCACAGATTTTTTAGTATCTTTTGCCGATTACAACGCCTCCCTTATTAGCCAGTTATTCGAATGTTGTCTAATTCTTCTTTCTATCCCCCGTTCATTTCGCATGCTGTAGCTCAATAGCTGACGTTTCGTCTTTCCCCTAAAGCCCTCGTTTTCTTCTTCCCGTTTTTCTGATCACCCTCTCTTCACAGGATGTCCGCTTCGCCAAATATGGTTACTGGGGTCCACCCAAGGTGGGAATGCTCCCATGGATCCTTCTCGTGGTGATGTCCCAATGGCGCGCTTTGGGCATACAACACCTACATGGGAAATTTTACCGTCATTCTTTTCGGTGGAGCCGTTGGAGGTAAAAACTTCACCCACATCAACATCTTTTCTTGTTGGATTTTTTTAGATACGGGCCGTTATACAATTACGAATGACACATATATGCTTGATTTATCGACGTTCGAATGGTCAAAAGTCTCTGCGGATAATGCTCCTTCGGCTCGTGCTGCTCATGCTGCTGCTTGCGTGGATTCAATGCAGTTTGTCGTTTATGGGGGAGCGACCGGAGGTGGCTCTCTCTCTACTGATGAGGTCTGACACTCAGGCATAGCTCAGTAGGATCAACATGGTTCCTCCTCGTCACATGACTGTCAACACTCCAGCTGTGGATTTCATTCATCCACACTGAAAATATATTCTGTTTGTCCTTCTTCAGCTTTACCTACTCGATCTCCGGAAAGAGCATGCTTTGTCTTGGATGTCTGTCCCAATTACGGGTATCACGCCAGGACGGCGATACGGCCATTCAATGGCGTACCACAAGATTTCTGATGGACACCACCGAGCGAACTTGATTGTTTTCGGAGGAAACGATGGGTATGAATGACAATGATTGACTGGTGATCTCGGCTTCCTTCCAGAACGCGTACTCTTGCTGATATCTGGTTCATGGATGTCCAAAAGTCTCCCTTCACGTGGAATCAAGTCCAACTCCCTCCCGGGGCAAAACAACCGGCGCCCCGCGTTATCATTCCGCAGAAATCTGCAAGGAGGGCCCCGCCTTTGGCATGATGGTGCGTTCCCCCACTGAGTCAGTTTTCTGTATCACTTCATGCACGAAGGTCGTTTTCGGCGGTCGTACGACTGACAGTCGATCCCTGAAGGATGCATGGGGACTACGCCAGCACCGCGATGGTCGCTGGATTGGGTGGATGCTCCAGTCAAGAAGGGAGCGACGCCAGAGCCACGATTTCAGCACAGCTGCGTTTTTCTTGGAAGCAAGGTCATCGTTATCGGCGGTCGCGACTCAGATGTGTCAAAGCCTCTACCTACAGCTGTATACGATACAGAAGCCTGCGAGTGGCGAACCCTGCCTTCTGTCGGGCGTGTAAGTCACAACGATCGTTGTTAGGATTTCCTCGTTTTCCAATTTCAGTTCCGTCATTCGTCTTGGGCTTTAAACAACATCATTTATACATTCGGCGGCTTTGATCATCGAACTCAGTCTCACCCTACAGCAGATCTGCAATCCCTCAATGTGCTTGGTCGGTACCATTAATATGTCTCCAGATCTATCTTACTCGAATTGTCCTTCTTGTTAGAACACCAAAATTACTTCAGCGAAAGGGAGAAAGCGGAATTGCGAAGAAGAGGTTCCCCACTTCCTTGGCAACAGGAACAGGTGTCCGTCCCCCAACGCCCCGTCAAGCAAATTGATCCGGTCGCTCCCACGCCACCTGGTACGCTTTCTTTTGAATTGGATCCTCTACTTCTTCTTCTTCTTCTTCTTCAGCCTTTGCCTTCGGTTCGGCCGTTCAGAGCCCTCGCCATATTCTTGCTAGCTCGTGAGTCAAGGCTGCGGCTTCATCCTGTGACGCACTGTTTCGTTGTCACTTGGTAGCTCTGCTGGCCGTAGTCCCACCATATCTCAGCAGTTCACTTCCCCGAACGACAAATGAAGTCCGGCTTCATCTCATGCCCATACCAAATTCGACTCTCCCATAATCCAGATTTTTCAGCTCTCGTTCGGAAGGTATGCGAGGTTTTTTTTTCTCTTAACTGATTGAATATCTCATGTTCGTTCGCGTATCGTTCCCTGTCTGTCTGAACAGCCTCACGTTTCGGTTTCTCATAGATTTCTATCGACCGGCTAGAGGAAGAAGGAAAGAAGATCCGAGGCCACGCTCCCGCTCAGCATCTCCAGCCAGTTCTCGAAAATGAAGAAACACTCGCGGATCGGGTTATTCGGAGACTTCTGCGTCCCAATATCACCCCAATGAGAATAGACATGGACTTCAATGTCAATGGACCATTTTGTCTTTCTTGGGACGATGTTTCTCAGTTGTGTATCTCTACCTTGGCGTTGGTGAAGTGCGAGTCCATGGTGCTCCATCTTAGAGCGCCTATCAAAGGTAAGCAGTTCTCATTGACATCTGGTGGAGGATGGAATCATTCCCGTATCACGACTCTGCTTGATCACAATTATCAAATACCGTTTCTTGTTTTCAGTTTATGGTGACATCCATGGACAGTATTATGATTTAATGCGTCTGTTCGGGAGCTATAAATGCCCCGTAGACGAGATTGGAGGGAGGAAAACGACCTCCCACCTGAGGGAGAAATCCAAGGCGATATTGATTCGATGGATTATTTGTTTCTGGGAGGTATGATGTTGTAACTTCGACAGAAACTTCTTTGTTTTTCAATATCGTCTGAGTTCTCTGTTGTCACGGCAGCTTTCATTCTTGCGAGTTTCTAATAGTTTTTTGGCTGTAGATTTCGTTGATCGCGGTCGCCAGAGTTTAGAAGTCATTTTGCTTTTATTTGCGCTGAAGTGTCGTTATCCGAAACAGATTCATTTGATTCGGGGAAATCATGAAGACAAGGCGATAATGGCGCGTATGGATTTCAAGATGAATGTAGAAGACGGTTAAGAGAAGACCCAACACATCACGATTCATGTTGGGAAAAGTTCAACAAAGTAGGGACAAGGGTCTTAGTAGCAGCAGCACATGATGCAACAACTGTCTGTTAGGTTTTTGAGTTTCTTCCTGTGGGAGCGCTTATCGAAGATCGCATCTCTGCATTCACGGCGGTATTGGAGGAACTATCAATACTGTTGCTGACATTCAAGAATTAAGGAGACCGCTATCAGTGACGCAAATGCCCACTAATGAGACGGTAAGATTAAATTACTGCTCCCATTATGGAGGCAACACGTTTATATAACAGTTCAAGTTGTATATGAGATCTCTCCACGATGCATCCATGAGATGCGTCTGCTTCTATTATACAGATCTTCTTTCTCTGAATCAATTTACAGGAACAGAAAGTGACGGATTTACTCTGGAGTGATCCGACTGAGAATGATTCTGTAACAGGAGTTGTACCGAATATAACAGAGATGCAGACGGGTCAGGGAGAATCTACAAATTCGGGCCGGATAGAGTTGCCTCGTTTCTTCAAGCAATAAACTAGATCTGATTATCAGGTACGACGTCTCAGCACTTCGGAGATTCTATGCATTGACATGCGAGACAGATGGATTTCCTTTTTCGAAGTAGATGTCGATATTTTCTGCTCTTTTTGATCGTAGGGCTCATGAATGTGTGATGATGGTTTTGAGCGGTTTGCTGGGGGAAAATTAATCACTCTTTTCTCGGCGACCGATTACTGTGACATCGCAACGCAGGCGCCCTTCTCTTCATCCGTAGGGACCTTACCGTCGTTCCGAAGATCATCTACCCCCAAGATCGCGAACACCTTCACCTTAGAAACACTTGGTAGGCTGGACAGGAGGCGCTCTGTTTATCTTTTTCGGGGTTTCGGTTTCGATCTGGTGCTTGCCTCTTGAATCTCTTGCTCTGCCAGGCTTTCAATGGACCTCCCGGCCTCCGACACCCCCGCGGTCAATGCGTCGAGAAAAAGATCAAGATTTAGGATTTTAACTCTTTGTCCATCGGATTTATCATGTGGAAGGGAAATTCGAGTGGTCACTTGATTATTATTTTAGATTGTCGAATCACCAGCAGCGAATTTGAGTTTTGTCTTCTTTATTTGGCGTGGCTGTTTTCCGATTTTTTCGTTCTTGTAAGTCCGTTCAAAACGTGTGCCTCTTTCACCTTACGCAACAGCAATAGTGTTGACCCAGCAGCATTCGAACAAAATGGACAAATTCTTCAAATTCGTTTTTTGTTGATGCGTGTCTAGCCCGTACACTGTTCTGCGGTGCATAAACTGACTCTCCAAGGAACAAAACGTTGACGCAAGAGGAGCAAGTATCGAGGACGCCATACTGACAACTCCGAAAGACCTTGGTTGCGCTTATATCGGTCACGAAATCGTGATTATCACGAGAGGCTCATGACAGAGAAAAAATACTTCTTGCGTTTTTGTTTCTTTTGAATAGATCGCTGCACTTTCCACTCCTCACTCGTGCTATTGAAGTTAAAATTTACATCATTTTTGATGGTTCTCCATTTTGATACCGTCAACTCCTTATTGACGGGGGAGACAATTCGAGGGGAACCTGCTTAACACGTTTTACATGCTTTTCATGCTTTTCATGAGACACATATAACAATTTCGTTATCTTAAGAGGGTTTCATTCTGTAAATTTTGCAACGTTGTGTCTGGCAAGTCTGAGGATTCTTATTTACATTTTTGCATCCCTTGTTTTTGAATATGCCGGTAGCTTTCAGAAAAGAGAGACGGTTCTTCCCTCAGTCACCCTATGCCATCTTTTTGTTGTTCATACTGACTGTTTCAGCTACAGCTAAAGCTGTTTCTCATTCTTCGTCTCATCAAATTAAGAATCAGGTCAACATTCAAGAAGACCTCCCAGAATTGAATGGTGTTAATCCAGACAATACTCCAGAGTCGCTTGACAGTATTTCAGCTGAGACGTCGCGACAAAGCTCTGCGGTCTCATCTGTGAAGCATCTTATAAATCGAGCGAAGTCTCTTCATCGCGCTCATTCTGAAAAATCAACAGAGTCGTCTGATGATGAGTTTTCCTTCGACGAAGACAATGATGACGATTTGGGAGACAACGAACTCGCAGTCGGCCGCGATGATTCTCATCAATTAGCGTTGGCAGTCAAGATCGGCGACGATGAGGTTGCCGTTGGAGTTGATGTTGCGGGCGTTCAACACGCGCATGTCGTCGTCGAAGTGGAGAGCGAGAGTTGCTGCGAGTGTAAGCGAGGATTGACTTCTTTACGGTTGTTCACAGCTTCACTTTGTGTCAGGTGACGGCAGCTGCACGACGACTACAACTACTACAAGCACGACTACAACTACTACAAGCACGACTACAACTACTACAAGCACGACTACAACTACTACAAGCACGACTACAAGCACGACTACAACAACTACAAGCACGACTACAACTACTATCACGGCGACCATGAGCACAACCAGCACAACATCTACTACGAGTACTACAACTGATTACACTAAAACGACTCAACTACCAGGAACCACTTCTACGTCTACAGCTAGTCCTACATCTATTACCACCAGCACTACAAGCACAAGATCTACTACTAGCACGGCATTTACTACTAGCACGACATCTACTACTAGCACGACATCTACCCGCACAAGCACAACCAGAATAATATCTACTACGAGCACTACAACTGAAACGACTCAACCATCAGGGTCCACTTCTACATCCACCACCAACACCAGCACAACGTCTGCTAGCAGCACAAGCACCACCAGCACAACGTCTGCTAGCAGCACAAGCACCACCAGCACAGCATCCACTACCAGCACCGCAACATCCACTACTAGCACAACGAGCAAAACTGTGCCAACTCAACCACCAGGATCCACTTCTACATCGACGACCAGCACAGCATCTACCACCAGCACTACCACAGTTACCACAAGCACAACATCTACTACCAGCACTACATCCACTGCCAGCACCACAAGCACAACATCCACTGCCAGCACCACAAGCACAACATCTACTACCAGCACCACAAGCACAACATCCACTACCAGCGACACAAGCACAACCTCCACTACCAGCGCCACATCTACTACCAGCACCACGAGCACAGCATCTACTACCAGCACTACGAGCACAACATCTACTACAAGCACCACATCCACCACATCCACCACATCCACCACAAGCACCACAGCTACCACAAGCACCACATCTACTACCAGCACCACAAGCACAACATCTACTACTAGCACCACAAGCACAACATCCACTACCAGCACCACCAGCAGCACAATAAGCACAACATCTACCACCAGCACCACAAGCACAACAAGCACAACATCTACTACGACCACTACAACTGACGAAACTGTGCCGACTCAACCACCAGGATCCACTTCTACATCTACAACCAGCACCACAATTACCACAAGCATAACAAGCACCACAAGCACAACATCTACCAGCACCACCACAAGCACAACATCTACTACCAGCACTACATCCACTGCCAGCACCACAAGCACAACATCTACTACAAGCACAACATCCACTGCCAGCACCACAAGCACAACATCTACTACCAGCCCCACAAGCACAACATCTACCACAAGCACAACAAGCACCACAAGCACAACAAGCACCACAAGCACAACCTCCACTACCAGCGCCACATCTACTACCAGCACAACATCTACTACCAGCACCCCAAGCACAACCAGCACAATATCTACTACCAGCACCACAGGCACAACCAGCACAACATCTACTACCAGCACTACCACAATTACCACAAGCACAACATCTACTACCAGCACTACATCCACTGCCAGCACCACAAGCACAACATCTACTACAAGCACAACATCCACTGCCAGCACCACAAGCACAACATCTACTACCAGCACCACAAGCACAACATCTACCACAACAAGCACCACAAGCACAACAAGCACCACAAGCACAACCTCCACTACCAGCGCCACATCTACTACCAGCACAACATCTACTACCAGCACCACAAGCACAACCAGCACAATATCTACTACCAGCACCACCACAATTACCACAAGCACAACATCCACTGCCAGCACCACAAGCACTACCAGCACCACAAGCACAACCTCCACTACCAGCGCCACATCTACTACCAGCACCACGAGCACAGCATCTACTACCAGCACTACGAGCACAACATCTACGACCAGCACCACAAGGACAACATCTACCACATCCACCACAAGCACAACATCCACTACCAGCACCACAAGCACAACAAGCACAATATCTACTACCAGCACCACCACAATTACCACAAGCACAACATCCACTGCCAGCACCACAAGCACAACATCCACTGCCAGCACCACAAGCACAACATCCACTGCCAGCACCACAAGCACAACATCCACTGCCAGCACCACAAGCACAACATCTACTACCAGCACCACAAGCACAACATCCACTACCAGCGACACAAGCACAACCTCCACTACCAGCGCCACATCTACTACCAGCACCACGAGCACAGCATCTACTACCAGCACTACGAGCACAACATCTACTACAAGCACCACATCCACCACATCCACCACAAGCACCACAGCTACCACAAGCACCACATCTACTACCAGCACCACAAGCACAACATCTACTACTAGCACCACAAGCACAACATCCACTACCAGCACCACCAGCAGCACAATAAGCACAACATCTACTACCAGCACCACAAGCACAACATCTACTACCAGCACCACAAGCACAACATCTACTACCAGCACCACAAGCACAACATCCACTACCAGCACCACAAGCACAACATCCACTACCAGCACCACCAGCACAACAAGCACCACATCTACTACCAGCACAACAAGCACCACATCTACCACAAGCACCACATCTACTACCAGCACCACAAGCACAACATCTACTACCAGCTCCACAGGCAGAACAAGCACCACAAGCACAACATCTACTACCAGCTCCACAAGCACAACAAGCACAACATCTACTACCAGCTCCACAAGCACAACAAGCACCACAAGCACAACAAGCACCACAAGCACAACATCTACTACCAGCACCACAAGCACAACAAGCACAACATCTACTACCAGCACCACAAGCACAACAAGCACAACAAGCACCACAAGCACAACAAGCACAACATCTACTACCAGCACCACAAGCACCACAGCTACCACAGCTACCACAAGCACCACAAGCACCACAAGCACCACAAGCACCACAAGCACCACAAGCACCACAAGCACCACAAGCACCACAGCTACCACAAGCACCACATCCACTACATCCACCACATCCACCACAAGCACCACAAGCACAACAAGCGCAACATCTACTACTAGCACCACAAGCACAACAAGCACCACATCTACTACCAGCACAACAAGCACAACATCTACCACAAGCACCACATCTGCTACCAGCACCACAAGCATAACATCTACTACGAGCACTACAACTGACGAAACTGTGCCGACTCAACCACCAGGATCCACTTCTACATCTACAACCAGCACCACAATTACCACAAGCACAACAAGCACCACAAGCACAACATCTACCAGCACCACAATTACCACAAGCACAACATCTACCAGCACCACAACATCTACCAGCACCACAAGCACAACATCCACTACCAGCACCACAAGCACCACATCTACTACCAGCACCACAAGCACAACATCCACTACCAGCACCACAAGCACAACATCTACCACAAGCACCACAAACACAACAAGCGCAACATCTACTACTAGCACCACAAGCACAACATCCACTACCAGCACCACAAGCACAACGTCTACTACAAGCACCACAAGCACAACATCTACTACCAGCACCACAAGCACAACATCCACTACCAGCACCACCAGCACAACAAGCACCACATCTACTACCAGCACAACAAGCACCACATCTACCACAAGCACCACATCTACTACCAGCACCACAAGCACAACATCTACTACCAGCTCCACAAGCACAACAAGCACCACAAGCACAACATCTACTACCAGCTCCACAAGCACAACAAGCACAACATCTACTACCAGCTCCACAAGCACAACAAGCACCACAAGCACAACAAGCACCACAAGCACAACAAGCACCACAAGCACCACATCTACTACCAGCACCACAAGCACAACAAGCACCACAAGCACAACATCTACTACCAGCTCCACAAGCACAACAAGCGCAACATCTACTACCAGCACCACAAGTACCACATCTACTACCAGCACCACAAGCACCACATCTGCTACCAGCACCACAAGTACAACATCTACCAGCACCACAAGTACAACATCTACCAGCACCACAAGCACCACATCTACTACCAGCACCACAAGCACAACATCTACTACAAGCACCACAAGCACAACATCTGCTACCAGCACCACAAGCACCACATCTACTACCAGCACCACATCTACCACAAGCACCACAGGCACAACATCTACTACCAGCACCACATCTACTACCAGCACCACAAACACAACAAGCGCAACATCTACTACTAGCACCACAAGCACAACATCCACTACCAGCACCACAAGCAGCACAATAAGCACAACATCTACTACCAGCACCACAAGCACCACATCTACTACCAGCACCACAAGCACCACATCTACTACCAGCACCACAAGCACCACATCTACTACCAGCACCACAAGCACCACATCTACTACCAGTACCACTAGCACCACATCTACTACCAGCACCACAAGCACCACATCTACTACCAGCACCACATCTACCACAAGCACCACAGGCACAACATCTACTACCAGCACCACATCTACTACCAGCACCACAAACACAACAAGCGCGACATCTACTACTAGCACCACAAGCACAACATCCACTACCAGCACCACAAGCAGCACAATAAGCACAACATCTACCAGCACCACAAGCACAACATCTACTACCAGCACAACAAGCACAACATCCACTACCAGCACCACTAGCACAACAAGCACCACATCTACCACAAGCACAACATCCACTACCAGCACCACTAGCACCACATCTACTACTAGCACCACAAGCACAACATCCACTACCAGCACCACAAGCAGCACAATAAGCACAACATCTACCACCAGCACCACAAGCACAACATCTACTACGAGCACTACAACTGACGAAACTGTGCCGACTCAACCACCAGGATCCACTTCTACATCTACAACCAGCACCACAATTACCACAAGCACAAGCACAACATCTACCAGCACCACAAGCACAAGCACCACATCTACTACCAGCACAACAAGCACCACATCTACTACCAGCACAACAAGTACCACATCTACTACCAGCACATCTACCACAAGCACCACATCTGCTACCAGCACCACAAACACAACAAGCACAACATCTACCAGCACCACAAGCACAACAAGCACAACATCTACTACCAGCACCACAAGTACATCTACTACCAGCACCACAAGCAGCACAATAAGCACAACATCTACCACCAGCACAACAAGCACCACATCTACTACCAGCACAACAAGCACTACCAGCACCACAAGCACAACATCCACTACCAGCACCACAAGCAGCACAATAAGCACAACATCTACTACCAGCACCACAAGCACAACATCTACTACCAGCTCCACAAGCACAACATCTACTACCAGCTCCACAAGCACCACATCTACTACCAGCTCCACAAGCACCACATCTACTACCAGCACCACAAGCACCACATCTACTACCAGCACCACAAGCACCACATCTACCACAAGCACCACAGGCACAACATCTACTACCAGCACCACAACATCCACCACCAGCACCACTAGCACAACGAGCACCACTAGCACAACGAGCACCACATCTACCACAAGCACCACATCTACCACAAGCACCACATCTACCACAAGCACCACAGGCACAACATCTACTACCAGCACCACAAACACAACAAGCGCAACTTCTACTACTAGCACCACAAGCACAACATCCACTACCAGCACCACAAGCACAACATCCACTACCAGCACCACAAGCAGCACAATAAGCACAACATCTACTACCAGCACCACAAGCACAACATCTACTACCAGCTCCACAAGCACCACATCTACTACCAGCTCCACAAGCACCACATCTACTACCAGCACCACAAGCACCACATCTACTACCAGCACCACAAGCACCACATCTACTACCAGCACCACAAGCACCACATCTACTACCAGCACCACAAGCACCACATCTACTACCAGCACCACAAGCACCACATCTACTACCAGCACCACATCTACCACAAGCACCACAGGCACAACATCTACTACCAGCACCACATCTACTACTAGCACCACAAACACAACAAGCGCAACATCTACTACTAGCACCACAAGCACAACATCCACTACCAGCACCACAAGCAGCACAATAAGCACCACATCTACTACCAGCACCACAAGCACCACATCTACTACCAGCACCACAAGCACCACATCTACTACCAGCACCACAAGCACCACATCTACTACCAGCACCACAAGCACCACATCTACTACCAGTACCACTAGCACCACATCTACTACCAGCACCACAAGCACCACATCTACTACCAGTACCACTAGCACAACATCCACTACCAGCACCACATCTACCACAAGCACCACAGGCACAACATCTACTACCAGCACCACAACATCCACCACCAGCACCACTAGCACAACGAGCACCACATCTACCACAAGCACCACATCTACCACAAGCACCACAGGCACAACATCTACTACCAGCACCACAAACACAACAAGCGCAACTTCTACTACTAGCACCACAAGCACAACATCCACTACCAGCACCACAAGCACAACATCCACTACCAGCACCACAAGCAGCACAATAAGCACAACATCTACTACCAGCACCACAAGCACAACATCTACTACCAGCACCACAAGCACAACATCTACTACCAGCTCCACAAGCACCACATCTACTACCAGCTCCACAAGCACCACATCTACTACCAGCACCACAAGCACCACATCTACTACCAGCACCACAAGCACCACATCTACTACCAGCACCACATCTACCACAAGCACCACAGGCACAACATCTACTACCAGCACCACATCTACTACCAGCACCACAAACACCACATCTACTACCAGCTCCACAAGCACAACAAGCACCACAAGCACAACATCCACTACCAGCACCACAAGCAAAACATCTACCAGCACCACAAGCACAACATCTACCACAAGCACCACATCTACTACCAGCACCACTAGCACAACATCCACTACCAGCACCACAAGCACAACATCTACTACCAGCACCACTAGCACAACATCTACTACGAGCACTACAACTGACGAAACTGTGCCGACTCAACCACCAGGATCCACTTCTACATCTACAACCAGCACCACAATTACCACAAGCACAACAAGCACCACAAGCACAACAAGCACCACAAGCACAACATCTACCAGCACCACAATTACCACAAGCACAACAAGCACAACATCTACCAGCACCACTAGCACAACATCTACTACCAGCACCACAAGCACATCTACTACCAGCTCCACAAGCACAACAAGCACCACAAGCACAACATCCACTACCAGCACCACAAGCAAAACATCTACCAGCACCACAAGCACAACATCTACCACCAGCACCACATCTACTACCAGCACCACTAGCACAACATCCACTACCAGCACCACTAGCACAACATCTACCAGCACCACTAGCACAACATCTACTACCAGCACCACTAGCACAACATCTACTACCAGCACCACAAGCACAACAAGCACCAGAAGCACAACATCCACTACCAGCACCACAAGCACCACATCTACTACCAGCACCACAAGCACCACATCTACTACCAGCACCTCATCTACCACAAGCACCACAGGCACAACATCTACTACCAGCACCACATCTACTACCAGCACCACAAACACCACATCTACTACTAGCACCACAAGCATAACATCTACCAGCACCACAATTACCACAAGCACAACAAGCACAACATCTACCAGCACCACTAGCACAACATCTACTACCAGCACCACAAGCACCACATCTACTACCAGCACCACAAGCACCACATCTACTACCAGCACCACATCTACCACAAGCACCACAGGCACAACATCTACTACCAGCACCACATCTACTACCAGCACCACAAACACCACATCTACTACTAGCACCACAAGCATAACATCTACCAGCACCACAATTACCACAAGCACAACAAGCACAACATCTACCAGCACCACTAGCACAACATCTACTACCAGCACCACAAGCACATCTACTACCAGCTCCACAAGCACAACAAGCACCACAAGCACAACATCTACTACCAGCACCACTAGCACAACATCCACTACCAGCACCACAAGCACAACATCTACCAGCACCACTAGCACAACATCTACTACCAGCACCACAAGCACATCTACTACCAGCTCCACAAGCACAACAAGCACCACAAGCACAACATCCACTACCAGCACCACAAGCAAAACATCTACCAGCACCACAAGCACAACATCTACCACAAGCACCACATCTACTACCAGCACCACTAGCACAACATCCACTACCAGCACCACTAGCACAACATCCACTGCCAGCACCACAAGCACAACATCTACTACCAGCACCACTAGCACAACATCTACTACGAGCACTACAACTGACGAAACTGTGCCGACTCAACCACCAGGATCCACTTCTACATCTACAACCAGCACCACAATTACCACAAGCACAACAAGCACCACAAGCACAACATCTACCAGCACCACAATTACCACAAGCACAACAAGCACAACATCTACCAGCACCACTAGCACAACATCTACTACCAGCACCACAAGCACATCTACTACCAGCTCCACAAGCACAACAAGCACCACAAGCACAACATCCACTACCAGCACCACAAGCAAAACATCTACCAGCACCACAAGCACAACATCTACCACAAGCACCACATCTACTACCAGCACCACTAGCACAACATCCACTACCAGCACCACAAGCACAACATCTACCAGCACCACTAGCACAACATCTACTACCAGCACCACAAGCACATCTACTACCAGCTCCACAAGCACAACAAGCACCACAAGCACAACATCCACTACCAGCACCACAAGCAAAACATCTACCAGCACCACAAGCAAAACATCTACCAGCACCACAAGCAAAACATCTACCAGCACCACAAGCACAACATCTACCACAAGCACCACATCTACTACCAGCACCACTAGCACAACATCCACTACCAGCACCACAAGCACAACGTCTACTACCAGCTCCACAAGCACAACAAGCACCACATCTACTACCAGCACAACAAGTACCACATCTACCACAAGCACCACATCTACTACCAGCACCACTAGCACAACATCCACTACCAGCACCACATCTACCACAAGCACCACAAGCACAACAAGCACAACATCCACTACCAGCACCACTAGCACAACAAGCACCACATCTACCGCAAGCACAACATCCACTACCAGCACCACAAGCACCACATCTACTACTAGCACCACAAGCATAACATCCACTACCAGCACCACAAGCAGCACAATAAGCACAACATCTACCACCAGCACCACAAGCACAACATCTACTACGAGCACTACAACTGACGAAACTGTGCCGACTCAACCACCAGGATCCACTTCTACATCTACAACCAGCACCACAATTACCACAAGCACAACAAGCACCACAAGCACAACATCTACCAGCACCACAATTACCACAAGCACAACAAGCACAACATCTACCAGCACCACAAGCACAACAAGCACAACATCTACTACCAGCACCACAAGTACGACATCTACCAGCACCACAAGCACAACAAGCACCACATCTACTACCAGCACAACAAGCACCACATCTACTACCAGCACAACAAGTACCACATCTACTACCAGCACATCTACTACCAGCACATCTACCACAAGCACCACATCTGCTACCAGCACCACAAACACAACAAGCGCAACATCTACTACTAGCACCACAAGCACAACATCCACTACCAGCACCACAAGCAGCACAATAAGCACAACATCTACTACCAGCACCACAAGCACAACATCTACTACGAGCACTACAACTGACGAAACTGTGCCGACTCAACCACCAGGATCCACTTCTACATCTACAACCAGCACCACAATTACCACAAGCACAACAAGCACCACAAGCACAACATCTACCAGCACCACAATTACCACAAGCACAGCATCTACCAGCACCACAATTACCACAAGCACAGCATCTACCAGCACCACAAGCACAACAAGCACAACATCTACTACCAGCACCACAAGTACAACATCTACCAGCACCACAAGCACAACAAGCACCACATCGACTACCAGCACAACAAGCACCACATCTACTACCAGCACAACAAGCACCACATCTACTACCAGCACAACAAGTACCACATCTACTACCAGCACATCTACCACAAGCACCACATCTGCTACCAGCACCACATCTACTACCAGCACAACAAGCAGCACATCTACTACCAGCACAACAAGTACCACATCTACTACCAGCACAACTACCACAAGCACCACATCTGCTACCAGCACCACAAACACAACAAGCGCAACATCTACTACTAGCACCACAAGCACAACATCCACTACCAGCACCACAAGCAGCACAATAAGCACAACATCTACTACCAGCACCACAAGCACAACATCTACTACCAGCACAACAAGCACCACATCTACCACAAGCACAACATCCACTACCAGCACCACAAGCACCACATCTACTACTAGCACCACAAGCATAACATCCACTACCAGCACCACAAGCAGCACAATAATCACAACATCTACCACCAGCACCACAAGCACAACATCTACTACGAGCACTACAACTGACGAAACTGTGCCGACTCAACCACCAGGATCCACTTCTACATCTACAACCAGCACCACAATTACCACAAGCACAAGCACAACATCTACCAGCACCACAATTACCACAAGCACAACAAGCACAACATCTACCAGCACAACAAGTACCACATCTACTACCAGCACATCTACCACAAGCACCACATCTGCTACCAGCACCACATCTACTACCAGCACAACAAGCACCACATCTACTACCAGCACAACAAGTACCACATCTACTACCAGCACATCTACCACAAGCACCACATCTACTACCAGCACATCTACCACAAGCACCACATCTGCTACCAGCACCACATCTACTACCAGCACAACAAGCACCACATCTACTACCAGCACCACAAGCACCACATCTACTACCAGCACCACAAGCACCACATCTACTACCAGCACCACATCTACCACAAGCACCACAGGCACAACATCTACTACCAGCACCACATCTACTACCAGCACCACAAACACAACAAGCGCAACATCTACTACCAGCACCACATCTACTACCAGCACCACAAACACAACAAGCGCAACATCTACTACTAGCACCACCAAGCACCACATCTGCTACCAGCACCACAAACACAACAAGCGCAACATCTACTACTAGCACCACAAGCACAACATCCACTACCAGCACCACAAGCAGCACAATAAGCACAACATCTACTACCAGCACCACAAGCACAACATCTACTACCAGCACAACAAGCACAACAAGCACCACATCTACCACAAGCACAACATCCACTACCAGCACCACAAGCACCACATCTACTACTAGCACCACAAGCATAACATCCACTACCAGCACCACAAGCACAACATCTACTACCAGCACAACAAGCACAACAAGCACCACATCTACCACAAGCACCACATCTGCTACCAGCACCACAAACACAACAAGCGCAACATCTACTACTAGCACCACAAGCACAACATCCACTACCAGCACCACAAGCAGCACAATAAGCACAACATCTACTACCAGCACCACAAGCACAACATCTACTACCAGCTCCACAAGCACCACATCTACTACCAGCTCCACAAGCACCACATCTACTACCAGCACCACAAGCACCACATCTACTACCAGCACCACAAGCACCACATCTACTACCAGCACCACATCTACCACAAGCACCACAGGCACAACATCTACTACCAGCACCACATCTACTACCAGCACCACATCTACCACAAGCACCACAGGCACAACATCTACTACCAGCACCACATCTACTACCAGCACCACAAACACAACAAGCGCAACATCTACTACCAGCACCACATCTACTACCAGCACCACAAACACAACAGGCGCAACATCTACTACTAGCACCACAAGCACAACATCCACTACCAGCACCACAAGCAGCACAATAAGCACAACATCTACTACCAGCACCACAAGCACAACATCTACTACCAGCACCACAAGCACAACATCTACTACCAGCACCACAAGCACAACATCTACTACCAGCACCACAAGCACCACATCTACTACCAGCTCCACAAGCACCACATCTACTACCAGCACCACAAGCACCACATCTACGACAAGCACCACATCCACAACAAGCACCACATCCACAACAAGCACCACAAGCACAACATCTACCAGCACCACAATTACCACAAGCACAACAAGCACCACAAGCACAACATCTACCAGCACCACAATTACCACAAGCACAACAAGCACCACAAGCACAACATCTACCAGCACCACATCTACCACCACTGGCACAACAAGCACCACATCTACCACAAGCACAACATCCACTACCAGCACCACATCTACCACCACTGGCACAACAAGCACCACATCTACCACAAGCACAACATCCACTACAAGCACCACATCTACCACAAGCACAACATCCACTACCAGCACCACAAGCACAACATCTACTACCAGCACAACAAGCACAACATCTACTACTAGCACCACAAGCACAACATCTACTACTAGCACCACAAGCACAACATCTACTACTAGCACCACAAGCACAACATCCACTACCACAAGCACAAGAAGCACCACAACTACTACGAGCACCACAAGCACAACAAGCACGACATCTACTACCAGCACCACAAGCACGACATCTACTACCAGCACCACAAGCACATCTACTACCAGCTCCACAAGCACCACAAGCACAACATCCACTACCAGCACCACAAGCAAAACATCTACCAGCACCACAAGCACAACATCTACCACAAGCACCACATCTACTACCAGCACCACTAGCACAACATCCACTACCAGCACCACAAGCACAACATCCACTACCACAAGCACAAGAAGCACCACAACTACTACGAGCACCACAAGCACAACATCTACTACCAGCACCACAAGCACGACATCTACTACCAGCACCACAAGCACCACATCTACTACCAGCACCACAAGCACAACATCCACTACCAGCACCACAAGCACATCAAGCACCACATCCACAACAAGCACAACATCCACTACCAGCACCACAAGCACAACAAGCACAACATCTACTACCAGCACAACAAGCACAACATCTACTACCAGCACAACAAGCACAACATCCACAACATCCACAACAAGCACCACAAGCACAACAAGCACCACATCTACTACCAGCACCACAAGCACCACATCTACTACCAGCACCACTAGCACAACAAGCACCACATCTACCACAAGCACCACATCTACTACCAGCACCACTAGCACAACATCCACTACCAGCACCACATCTACCACAAGCACAACAAGTACAACATCCACTACCAGCACCACTAGCACAACAAGCACCACATCTACCACAAGCACAACATCCACTACCAGCACCACAAGCACCACATCTACTACTAGCACCACAAGCATAACATCCACTATCAGCACCACAAGCAGCACAAATAAGTACAACATCTACCACCAGCACCACAAGCAGAACATCTACTACGAGCACTACAACTGACGAAACTGTGCCGACTCAACCACCAGGATCCACTTCTACATCTACAACCAGCACCACAATTACCACAAGCACAACAAGCACCACAAGCACAACATCTACCCAGCACCACAATTACCACAAGCACAACAAGCACAACATCTACCAGCACCACAAGCACAACAAGCACAACATCTACTACCAGCACCACAAGTACAACATCTACCAGCACCACAAGCACAACAAGCACCACAAGCACCACATCTACTACCAGCACCACTAGCACAACATCTACTACAGCACCACCAGCACATCTACTACCAGCTCCACAAGCACAACAAGCACCACAAGCACAACATCCACTACCAGCACCACAAGCAAAACATCTACCAGCACCACAAGCACAACATTTACCACAAGCACAACATCTACTACCAGCACCACTAGCACAACATCTACTACCAGCACCACTAGCACAACATCTACTACCAGATCCACAACAAGCACAACATCCACTACCAGCACCACAAGCACAACAAGCACAACATCTACTACCAGCACAACAAGCACAACATCTACTACCAGCACAACAAGCACAACATCTACTACCAGCACAACAAGCACAACATCTACTACCAGCACAACAAGCACAACAAGCACTACAAGCACCACATCTACTACCAGCACCACAAGCACCACATCTACTACCAGCACCACAAGCACCACATCTACTACCAGCACCACTAGCACAACAAGCACCACATCTACCACAAGCACCACATCTACTACCAGCACCACTAGCACAACATCCACTACCAGCACCACATCTACTACCAGCACCACAAGCACCACATCTACTACCAGCACCACTAGCACAACAAGCACCACATCTACCACAAGCACCACATCTACTACCAGCACCACTAGCACAACATCCGCTACCAGCACCACATCTACCACAAGCACCACAAGCACAACAAGTACAACATCCACTACCAGCACCACTAGCACAACAAGCACCACATCTACCACAAGCACAACATCCACTACCAGCACCACAAGCACCACATCTACTACTAGCACCACAAGCATAACATCCACTATCAGCACCACAAGCAGCACAATAAGTACAACATCTACCACCAGCACCACAAGCAGAACATCTACTACGAGCACTACAACTGACGAAACTGTGCCGACTCAACCACCAGGATCCACTTCTACATCTACAACCAGCA